GGAGCAAGCGCTTGACAGGTATCCAATAGTAAAGCATGACTAAGCTGGAAACCAAGAAACTGCTCGTAACGATGCTACCCATAAGGAACTTTAACGAAGTGGTTGAGAGCTTGCAGCTGTCAGCCCAAGGACAAATTCAGTAGAAGTTGTCACATGAGCAATACTGCATGATTAATTTAGCTCAAAAGTCACAACACCATAGGCACATGTCCATGCAGAACTATTGTGTCCAGTGCGATTCCAGTCTCTGTCGCCAGCTGTTAGTCGGTTTTTATAATGTTTAGCTCGGTGGGGCGGCTGGCCAGCGGATGTGTTCCTTTCCGGCCTGAATCTCTCCACTGGTCAGTTTGAGACGGGTGAGTTATGTCCAATAGACCACGCCGATATTGACGACGCTCCGAATGTATAATGCATTTCGCATGGCCGGTTCCCAATACGTGCTCGGGTTGTGTGAGGGGACAACGATTGCATAGGGGAGTGAAGGACACAATGGCATTCCACTGGATAAGCTGAAGGGTGTCACTTGACAGAAACATTAGGTTTATGTGCTCTCCTGCAGCAGGAGGACAACTATGCGGTATTGCGGGCTGGCTTCATTTCATCAGAGATGTCCTCAGAACATCGCCTAGCCTTGCTATGTTTCCGGTGTAATTTCACGGGGATTTCCATGGGGTTTGATATTGAATTTCATTGAGAGAAAACGTCCGGAGCCATTGTCACCTGCCGCCGCCGGCCGCGGAGGGAAGTTAGGTAACCGACTCAACTTGTCCGAAAGATAGCGCTGCGGGTATCTAAGAATATGTCCGTGGAGGTAGCGCGGGAGAGCCTGTCGTAGCCAGACGCTGGCCCACAGTGCTGCAGGAACAGACGACCAGGCGGTGGTGGACATGGGCCCGCGAACTCGGGAAAATGATTCTACCGAATGGCTGAACTTTGCCGTGGCTGCTTTGGCGTGAAGGACACAATTACTGAAACAAATGGAACACGATAAGCTCTCTTCATGCGTAGTGTCCTGTTGTGGCATTGGAAGTTTGAAAGGAAATGTAGTCTTCTGACATCAAACTTATGCCATAATCAATTTGGCTGAAGAATTATCAACTGGCTCGATCGCATTGATTTATCTGACAAATGTGCGAGTTTGAAGACAACCATGCTTGATAAAATCAAATATTTTCATCGCTACCAGTATTTTATTTCCAAATCGTCAGTACCAAAATTTACCATCCCCCGATTTAGGATTCAAACATTCTTTGCCCGAGATTCCCGAGCTTTGCGCCACTGTTGGAGCTGACTGGCTGTGTAGACTCCGTCTCGGGAAGTCATATTGCAGGACGGCGCCACTAAGTGTGTTTGTGTGTCTGCAATCTAACTTGTGCAGAAGCTTGGCTGCACCTGCGTCACATCGCAGTTAGATTGGAGAGAGAAAACGATCGCATCACTTATGCATCACATCGTGAGAGAGGCAAGATAGATGCGCAATTCGAAAAAAACGTCCTCTCAGATTACCCACTGGAATGGCTTGATATACCTAGACCTGCATCGTTAATCCAGGCATTGGTAAAAATGTGAAGTTTGCTCTAACAGACGGTATAGCATTGGAAGAGCCATTTCAAAGCATTAGAAGAGTAATATCAACAGATGCATTTGATTAGGCATTCTTTTTAAACCAGAATCATTAACTAGTATTTATTCACTTAAAAAATCATTTATATCAACGCAGGAAACTTTCCACCCAGACGAGGTATGATACTAGACGCATCGTTGTTTATTTTATCCGGATATTATGTGCCGGAAGTTTTTATGTAGTTATAGTTCGTTTTTCTTAAGTTTGCCCCTCACTGTAAACGTCTTTTTTAACACAGCACGAGAATTGCTAGCTGAATTACTGAGAAAACTGGTTGGCGCACATTGTATTGTAGATATGAATAATATTTTCAAAATAAGTTTTGAACACCGACGATTTAACGTTATGTTACGCGCCGTGCAATTTATTTATTAGTTCAGACATAATTCCTGAGAAGTCGTCTATCCCTGTGGGGCTGTAGGTATTGGCAAATACAAGCTACGAGTCTGTGAAATAGTAAATAAATTTGATCAAATTGATCGTCTGTCAAATCTGGTCAAATCAATGTGCGCCAACCAGTTTTCTAAGTAATTCAGCTAGCAATTCTCGTGCTGTGTTCAAAAAGACGTTTACAGTGAGGGGCAAACTTAAGAAAAACGAACTATAGTATGAATTACACTCGCCGGTTACTTTAAATCACGGTCCACGAACCATGACAGTGAGAGATGCCATGAGCCATGACCTATGGTCTGCATTTGTCAGAAGAACCTGTTGCGCCTTACCTCGCGCATAGTGATCCAACAGTCAAGATATTGCTATTGCAATAGTGAAAAATCAATTGTATGCAACCCAATGAATGCGAGCGCAAATAACCTTCGCCCCAGTGGGGGGATGGTTACCACCCTGTCGCGTTTTTTGCGTGTGAATAAAAAACCGCGCCGCGTAGCGCCGCACCGCTTGGAGTAGCTTTCTGTACATCAATTTTGGACAATGAGTGAAATTTTTGACCCCAGGTCATGTCAGGTCAGGTCACCAGGTCAAGTTAACTGACCAAGCCTAAAAAAGTTTGCAATCATGTCCAGCCTGCAGTGTTTGTAAGAGAGGTTTTAAACTTGGTGGATTGCATGATGTTATGTGCAGTGTGCACTTACAATTTGTATATCTCGGATTTTTTTTATATCCGTGACCTAAGGTCAGGACAGTGGCGTGACCTTTCCATTTTAAGTCAATGGAGAAAAATGAAAATGCCTCTAGATCTGTGTGTATATACGCATAGGAACAGTCCAAATATTTGAGAATCACAATGATTTGGACCAACCGTGACGGCCAAGGTGTCTTTTTTGCTGATAACCTCTAGTAGAAAGGTCATCCGAGGTTATTTGAGGCTACAAACATATTTTTGTCAATAACTCTCGACTTGAAAGAGATAGAACGCTGGGGATGGCTTCATTGTGTTTGTATTGTCGAGACGCATCGAATGATATGCAACATAACCTTTTTAGGTCACCACGTGACCTTGATCTGAGGTCAAAATTTGACCTTAACCTTTCCAGGTAGAACAATGTATGTTTCGAAGTGGCTGAAGGAGAGAAACACGATAGTGCCATTGCCAATTTTTCATCTTTGCTGGTTCAAAAGTTATTCGTGAAAAAGTTTTGTCCAAAATCAGCTATTGTCACAATAGTTGACCTATGGAGGCTTAACCGTTGACCTGAGGTCCATTTTGATAATGACTTTATCAAGAGAAGAGTTCAAAAGCTATCGATTGCTTTTCCATGCGTTTTTTTAACTATCATAGTTCCTGAGATAACCGCATGTTTTCTGAAAAATATAATGACATTTGGCAAATTTTGACCTTTTATGACCGCCAGTGACCCCAAAATTGCTCTAAGATGAAAAATGATCGAAATATTTTCAAACGTACGCATTGATAGCTATCGAGTGCTTTTTACCGCGTCTTTCTAGCCCTATTAGTTTTTTAGTTAGAGGTGGGTGGTAACATATGCCCCCCTCCCCCCACCCCCACTAGGGCGAAGTTGGCTGAGACCGCCACTGGGGCGCGGGATAAGAAAGAGTTTAAGAGTAGGCACTCTATTGAAAGCCAATGAGCTTACAAAGTCCTTATGACCGTGCAGTGGGCCCGCCTCCCTCAGTACACGCGGCCCGGTACCGAAGCCGACCTTCGGCCTTCAGTCACACGCGGCAGCAGAGCCGTAGTGCGGAGGACGCTGCGCGAAGTGCGTCACCCGTGCTCCGACCTAATAAGAGCCGCTGTCGTAGGCACGCCCGTCCTGGCGGCGATTGCGGCCCATATTGGCTCTGGCCGCTGATGGGAGCCCAGTCGGGTCATCATACAGCCGTATGGGGGCCACGTCCGGCGACAAACGAGCTCCGACGCCCGGCCCAACGACCTACTCTGCCGGCACTCTCCGATGTTTGCGTCCGAAGTGTTTTCCTGCAAATGCAGTCTCTGTTCCCTGGGGCGATAGATGGTCAGTATATCTTGCTGGCTATAGGGCATCACTTACAATAAAGAGATTTGAACACCATTAGTCGAGGGCGTTGCCCTGAACTAACGTGTTTTAAAACGCCACTTCTTTTAGGCTCAAGGGAACTCCAACAACCCAATTTCATTGAAGTGCAGCACTATACAACATCATCGCACTTAATCAGCATAGAAAGCACTTCGTGATATATCAGAAGCGGATGACATCACCTGGATATACGAGCATAGCTATGTAGTTCTAGTCCAAAATATGTCAAGCTTGAAGCTGGTACGCACAAACATGAATAAGAATGCAATCCACATAAACAGAACACAATTTTCATTATAGCATCATTCAACAAAACGCGTGCACTATGAAGTAGGTAGTAAGCAGCAGAAATTATCAATGACAGATATTCAGATGAATTGTAACCAAATGTTCCGTTACAAATTATGATAAGCTCATGGCTCATGTTTATTTCGCCGTCATGCCTAGAAGGTATATTTTTCCACCAATTCAAATTCAGCTTCGTCTTTCATTTGTGAGGCATTAGAGATGACGTGTAAGTGATAGCCAGACTAAGAATATGTTTTTGAACTGCGTTTCTCTGCAAAACAAGCCATCAACCACCTTTAACGAATGGCGTGGCTTAGTGAACCCAACGATAAATCTATTGACCCGGATAATTTAGACTACATAGATAAATTAGACCGGATAATTTAGTGTTTGTTCGTGTGTTCTTTCCTGAGAACACACACTGGGCCTATTGGAAATGATTTTTTATCTTTATATCGTTGTTAGAAAACATCGCAATAACGCAAAAAACAAATTTCGCTACTGTTGTTTTATCTACTTTTTTGTATCCAGCATAAGATTTGTATATGTATCCTTATCCAAAACGTTGTAAATCATTCAGCCACTAACTACACGATTACTTTTTCCAGTGTAACGGTACGTCTGCATTTGTCAGCGAGTGCCATCCAAGTTCGACTCTCCTGCGGCAAGTTCGTGAGGTGAACGCTCCGGCCCGGTTCAGAAGTCTCGTTCGTCGCCACCACACTGCGACCTCACCGACCTCACAGCGCTCATTCGTCGCCAACGCTCAGAGTTTCTCCCGCCTACACTCTGAGTACCTGCTGAACCAGCTGTGCACTGTTGGGCTGAGTACTTGTCCTACTGCGAGACGGACCAGCAGAGGGGTGGACGGATCTGACCATCTGCAAGTCGGTGGTCGTCCCGTGGGACTCCTTTCAGCAGCGCCGTGGTGATTTGGTCTCGGTGAGAGTGAGGACTGACGAAAAAGTGAAGAGACGTCATCGTAATGACGTCTGAGCCGGCGACAAACGAGACTCTCACGCACTGCGACCCGTGCACCGAGCGATGCACGCGGACCGCCAGTCTCTCCGAGTTCCTCCTGCGCGGCGTGCTGCTCAACTCTGTGAACCTGGTCGGTCTGGTGTGCAACAGCACGTCCGTGTACATCCTGTCGCGTCCGCCGATGCGCTCATCTACCAGCTGCTGTCTGATCGGGTTGGCAGTTTACGACATGCTGCTTCTGGCCAGCTCTGTTTTCATCTGGGGTGTGCCGGCTATCACCGGGTACACGGGCTACTGGAGGTCGCTCACCGAGGGAGCTATCCCGGCGGCCACGCCCTGGCTTTTTCCGCTGGCCAACATCGCTCACACGGGTAGCACGTATGTGACGGTGGCTGTCACCGTGGAGCGTTATGTGGCAGTGTGTCATCCACTCCGTTCACGCAGTGTCTGTACGTACGGCCGCGCCAGGCTTTACATGTTGATCATCAGCGCGCTGGTGGTGCTCTACAACGTGCCCCGTTTCCTGGAGGCGGAGCTGCGGCCGCTGCCGGCACAGGACGGTGCTCCGGACGGGTACACCGTGTGCGCCAGCGCGCTGCGTGCCCACCCAGTCTACATCGCTGTGTACGTGGTGTGGCTGTACCTGCTGGTCATGTACTGCCTGCCCTTCGGCACCCTGCTCGTGCTCAACACGCTCATCTACCGCCACGTGCAGGTGGCCAACCGGACGCGCCAGCTGCTCAGCCGCCAGCAGCAGCGCGAGATCGGCCTGGCCACGCTGCTCTTCGCCATCGTGCTGCTCTTCCTAACGTGCAACAGCCTGGCGTTCGTCATCAACATCATCGAGCTGGCTCGGAGCACCAGCAGCTTCGATCTGGACGGGGCTACCCTCGCTGTACTCACAGACGTCAGCACGTTGCTGGTTAACATCAGCTCGGCCAGTAACTTCTTCCTCTACTGCATCTTCGGACGCAAGTTCCGCCGTCTGTTCCTGCGTATCTTCTGTGGCGCGGTGCGGCGTAAAATTCGTCAGTGGCGCGCCGCAAACGGCGAGCTGACGACAACGGCGGCCGAGGGCACTGCAGCGGGTGTGGAGGTGCTGCTGCCAATGGCCCAGAGAAACAGCCGTGTAACGGCTGTGACACGGACAGGTGAAGGAGACGGTGCCGTGACCACGGCCTCGGCCGGGCCGCACAGAGTCACGCGTAACGGACAACGCTGAATGTTTCCCCACCGCGCACCCCTGCCATTCCCCGAGTGAATTGCTATGGTGGTGGCATGGATTGCAGAGACATCGCAATTATGTGGACTTAGAGATAGATCTGTCTGGCATCGGCGCGCCATCAGATTGGCCTGTTGTACTTCATGTTCCTCGTTTGGTCGCGCCGGTCCAAGCTCAGATGGCTCAGCGAGAAGTGTGTTGTTATTTTCTGTGTAGCTGCTTTCTGTGTACAATATGTTCCCTCTTAGAAATATGTGGTCGTAGATTGGATTATATGAGATAAGTTCACGGCTCTGGTGCCGAGCTCCGGATCATGGGCAAGCAATTTTCGCAACGAATGGAGCGTCGATGTGCCAGAGTGCACCAGTAGCAAACTACAGCAGTGTTCGTTTTGTACCCAACTGCCTGGCCCGTGAGATAATTAGCAACGAGCATGTTTCCATAAACATAGCTTGTCCATTGAATTTTGACACAATGTATTAATGCTGAGAAAGTTATAGTCATATTTTGGTAGGCATTTTCATCAACTATTGCGCCAGTTTTCTAATGTCAGGAATATTTTGTCAGTGGTGTGGCGGTGATAGCTGTGGTGATGTTTGCTTCTTCCTGTGCTTTCTAGTCTAATTTCGCAATGGCGAGGCGCTCAATGCGTAATTGACGTAAGCATGTGATGTGGGTGGGACCATTTCAAATGTCTCCCGAGAGCTCAATGTATCGTGACACCCAAATGCACTTTTGAATATTTCAGTGAGTTTTAAGTGTTCAACTGGTTACGGTCTGATAACTTTTACAGACATTGGCAGCTAACGGATCCACTCTCAGCAGCATTTGGATGTTGTTCAGCAAACTCAACAACAGACGTCAACGTCCACGTAGACATGTGGATGATTCATGAATGGACTACCAGAAATATATATTTATCATCATCACTTGATGATACGTGCTTTGGTGAATTGAACGGATAAAACATCATTTAGCCTTGATATCATTTACAGCCTTTATCTAACATCACCTGCATTTGAATATCTTTGGTAATTATAGGTTTGAAAGAAAAGGCAGCCTCTGCTTCTCAGGTAAGTGACTTCCTTGCATCCTTTTCCGGTGCCAAGCGTCAGGCTGTCAGTCGTAAGTTGTTGCTGTCGTTCGCCGTTATTGCCCTCCTCCTGGTTACCAACGACAGAACGACAGAACACTTCCAACCCAATGCCGTATATAGGAGGAGCTGACTGGACAGCAGACCCAGCCAGCTGCGTCAACAAACGAGGTCGATTAGACGCCTCCCATACGGTGTCCACGGTAATATAGGGAACGGGGGCGGACCACGCAAGGATGGAACTAAATTAAGCATTTCGATGGCGGCATTATAACCCGCGCCCGGCTGGGGGTCCTGGATTTCCACGCCCTGCTGGGGGGGGGGGGTGTTTAAACACCCCCCCCCTTGTAACTCGGCTCCTGGGCCACGTAGCGATACGCGGAAGGCGGCGTTCGAAAGAGCGTCAAAAATAATGACGAAATCACTTCGGTCAATTTTTGGTCAGGTCAAAGGTCAGGTCACCAGAGGTCATTGAAGGCAAAATTTCGCCGATTTCCAGGTCGAATGTCGAAAATTTCCAAGAAGCCAACGCATAACTCGGGAACCAATAGAGCTACAGCGCCGCAGAAAAGCGCATTCGATAGCCCTATTAACGCCCTTTCTGAGTAATTCTCTCATATTTGACCTAACGTCAACGGTTTTGCCTGCAGGGGGCAAAAACTGCAAAAATAGTCGATTTTTTTCGAAAACAGTTTTTCTGCAATAACTTTTGACCCAAGCCTTGTACGAGCTTACTTTTACCGGCATCGTGTTCCTCTCGTCAAGACGCATCGAATGAACTATAACTTGACCTTGAAAGGTCAACTTGAAAATTTGACCTCAGGTCAAGGTCATGACCTGACCGGAAAGGGTCATGTTGCATATCAGTCAATCCGTATCGTCGAGCTGAACACATCTAAGGCGTTTTCATCGCTCTAGCATGCCTCTATCAAAAGTTATTTGCGAAAAACTCTTAGACACCATTCGTGACGTAAGATGACCTCAGGGCATAAACAAGGGTCACGGACACCATTTTCATGTTCAGTGTGTCTAAACCACTTGTAATTCGGTGTTTGGGAGTGTTTATAATGTCTTGCATCCAAAAGAGGCGCATTTCAATTTTCTCCCATTGACTTATAATGGCGAGGTCGCAAAATTGACCTGACCTTAGGTCATCGATATCAAAATTCTGAGATATACATTTTGTACATGCTATTGCTCTTAGCAATCGCTGAAAGTTTCAAAGCGATTGGTCACTCGGTGTAGCTACGACAGACATTGAAAGTTTTTATGAGGTGAGGTCACTTCAAGTGACCTGGTGACCTGACCTTGAATGACCTTGGTCTGAAATTTTCACATGTGTAGAATTGATGTATGATAAGGTGTACCAAACACGGCGGCGCTCCGCGCCGCCGTTTTTGAAATATTCGCGAAAAACCTCAAGGAGGGGTGTTCAAACACACACACACACACACACCCCAGCAGGGCGCGGGATAATAAGTGTATTCATTGACAGAATGAAGGAATAGATTTAGACAATAATTGGTATATTTTCATTACACTTGCCAGTTGCCACGCACATTGTTTTGTATCCGATTCAATCCTGTGTCAATAACTTCAAGCCTGGTTGCGCTGTTTTGCAACTATTTACTTTTTACTTATTCAGGCATGGGAAAAATCAGCCATTTCCGAATGTTGAATAGGCCGTCACAGGCACCGTATCCCTGCTAAGCAGCCGCTATTGTGCAACATTGCGGACCCGCCATCCGACTTCATTCACCGCATCCGGTCGGCTGGTGAGGATTCAGATGGAAAGTCAGCATACCGTATACATAGATGGTGCCACCGAGCCCCTCGGGGACCGACGCTGCTCCATGCTCCCACCAGCTGTGTGCCCACACATGGGTAACGAGAATATATGGACCGATGAGCGCGCACCTTTACCATTAAACAATTCATTCAAGGCTCAAGTCATGTTGTGTATAAAGTTAACCCTCGCCGGACCTATTGGTTTTCTACATACGCGCCGGCCGAGGGGGGGGGGGCGGGTACGACCCCCCCCCCCCTCGCCGTTTCGCCCCTGGTTGAGCTAGCGCGTCGCGGAAAAAAACGAGCGTGTGCGCCGTTACGAGACGCAGAGATTGGTACCCGATTTTAAGGTCCTAGGTCAACCGGTGACCTCTGAGGTCAGGTCAAGTGCCCCAGGGTACGGTTCAGTTTTTGGTGAATAACTTCGCAAAAAACGGCCGCAGAGCGCCGATTTTGGCAGCATCGTGTTCGCCTCGCTCAGGCGCGTCGAATGGTATACTTTTTGTCCGGGTCAGGTCAACTTGGGGTGTTGACCTCAGGTCAAGGTCAGGTCAGCACCCCCAGGTCACGAAGTTGGTCGAAAGAGGTCATGTCGCATATCATTCGATTCGGCAGGCCTTCCTGAGTCCATTGGCGGCTTTCCCGACTCGCTAGCTCAATTTGATCAAGAGTTATTGACAAAAAACTAATATGACCTTGATGACGTCATAAATGACGTCACGCAAGGTCAACATTGCAAAAGTGACGCATCTAACCTTGCAAGGAGTGCATCAAATCACGATTCTGTGTGCTTGAGATAGTTGGAGATCGTTCCCGGCGCCAGAATAGCAGTTTTCATTTTTCCCCATTGACTTAAAATGGTGAGGTCACGAAAATGACCTGACCTCATATGACCTTTAGGAAAAATCCGAGATATACAAGTTGTGGGACTCATAATGGATACTAGATCCTGCAAGTTTCATTTCCCTGTGACATCTCCTCTGGCAGTGAGGGCGTTGCGAAGTTGCGACATCTGAAGACCGTGCAGAGGTTCACTTATGACGTCATAGGTCAGTGACCTGACCTGACCCAAAAATGCGGTTGGTGTCAAAAGATGCGGCTTGGATCAAAGGTCAGGTATGCCAAGTTTCAGCTCTCTATCGCCAGCGTGTTCGGAGCTATCGCGAAAAAACCCTATGGGGGGGGCGGCACCCGCCCCCCCCCTCGGCCGGCGAGGGTTAAGCCAATTGGAGCGTGAAATATTCAACGATAGTCTACTTTTAGTTAATGAATTCATACATCCTACCTTAAATGTTAAGTAACATCAGATGATAATCTGTTATCATTATCATGACATGCTTCACCTGACTGTTTCACCTAAAATCCAGGACCAAAAATGTTATAACATTTGCGCTATTCATTGATGCATATTTTAAACAATGAACTATATATAAAAGCCGTTTTCACGACGGCCATCTGGTAAACATTTGGTGCACATCTGGTAGGTACAAATTAGTTGCAGATTTGGTCAAATCAGGGTCGGCGGTTTGTCTCTTAGCAGCTATCAGCTAGGGTTGCACTAGTTGCTTATATGCCTGTTTTGTCATATTAACTATCAGAGAGCATGATCGATTAAAACACTGAAATAAATTCATAAAAATGAAGATATTTGATGTAAAAGAAATTAGATGCAGATTTGGTCAAATCAGGTGCATTCGCCGGATAGCCCGTCGTGAAAACGGCTAATACCTATGTATATCAATTGTTCACCTAGGTTATATAATGCATACCGTTTGTTTTGTGCACATGGCTTTGCCGCATTCTTGGTTGAGTACTGAATGAATACTGTTCAGAAATCAGCGGTCAAGGGCAAGACTCTGGCATTGGGCCATTCGAGGAATCACTCATTTCCGGTGCTGGAGATGCTAAGGCTCATCATGATGTAAAAAACTGCAGCAAGCTAATGCGATCTTGTTTGTCGTTTCTTTTCTTTTTTTGCTGCAGTGTTTTACATCATGATGAGCTTTTGCCTTTTCAATCTGTAGGTATATCGTAGAGTTTTGCTTTCATTTACGTCAGTAGCCTCGAGCACCTCATCTGTCATTCTCTTGAACATAGCATACTTAATCTTACCGCCCTC